AGATAAAGGCTAAGACAGTGTCGCTGACAGAGTGTAACACTGACACTCACGGGGCCTGTGCAAATTACCTCCATTAAAAATGCATGAGGCGCCCAGGTTCCACGTGTAATAAAGTACAACACACTGGCAGGGTTGTCGTTCACAGGAGGCCCGGAGGTACGGGGCTCGGCGTGTGCACCTTGCATGTCTGTGTGTGCGTGTGCGGGCGATAGAAAAGGAATGGGTGATTAAGTGGATGGGAGGACGGGGGAAACTGGCCAAAAGCCACCAACGGGGCTAACTTGGCAAGCTCGCGGCCTCTGGCGCTTTCGTTAGCGCACACACACACACACACACACGCACACACACACGCCCGCGCGCGCACACACTTTAAGACCTGCATATTAACGCAGCCTGAGTAAGGGGTTTGAGTTAAGGGGGGGTCGGGGCGGGGATGGGGGGCGGGGGTTAGAGAAACACACAGTGGCAGAATTTATAGCAGTGCTTCCTGGGTGCTTTGCCACAAGCTTCAAATGGCTGCAGCTCAAAGCCTCACACAGATTCCAGCAGGTAAATCAAACAGCTGGCAGACAGCTGCACCTGTCAGAAGAAGATCTCGAATTGACAACAAGGATGGAAAAAGAGATTGCTGTCAAATTTTAAGAACATAAGTCCTTGTTTATGGATTGTGGGGAAGGGAGGAAGGGGGGGGGGGAGTTAGATGGGCGCTTGCCGGTCAGGTTTTTTTCTGTTGCAGCTCAGTGGATTGAAAGAAAGACACTGTCATCCAATGGAACAAATGATTTGTGGGAAGAAACGATAGTTGCTTCTACACCGCAATCCACAAAACGTCTATTTTCACTCTTGGGCCCAGACAAGAAAATGGCAACAGCAAGAAAAGCTACCAGCGGTGTCGTGGCTCACGTAGGCATCATTCAATTTTCGCCTCTGCGTTTACCTTATATGCTCGCTTTGCTGAGCGTAACCACCAGAAGACTGCCTATTCTCAGTTGAACAATTTTAACTGATGCCAAGAAAATTGCACTCACGGCCGTGGAGCCTTTTTTCCGCCAGATATGGAAGAAGTTCAAAAAATCTCCAACCGAATTGCTTGCTTGTTTTTCTACTTGTCTTAGCAGCGTCCACATCGCGGGTCGATTTATTTAAAATAAGATTAGACAATGACAATGAATAAAAAAAAAAAGATGAAAAATGAAACTGATCTTGGTCTGTTGGGGCTTTTTTCCACACTCATCTACTGTACGTTGTATTTCTTTGCTGCAGGTTCTCCATCGAGCACAGTACGGACCAAGACATGATCTTCCACATTGATCCTGACTCGGGCGCCATCATGCTGGACAAGGTTTTGGACCGCGAGACAGCCGGCTGGCACAATATCACTGTCAAGGCCGTCGAAGCAGGTATGCTTCCTCGGGCACATTAAAAAAAAACAAAAACAAAAACAAAAAAAAAGCACCTATTACGCATAAATTGCGACACTACTAGGAGTGTGATTGCATTTATGTTTGGCAACCTTTCTGAAAGTGTCTTGAATGTCATCTTCCCGTGTCAACGTCGTTATTACTGCTGGATGCAACTTTTTACATTTGTATTCATGTTGTGATTGCCAGGGACATTTTTAAATCTCATTTCCTAACGGGGTAAACTGCCGGGTGGCTGATGAGAGACGCTTGAGGCTCCTGTGTATAGCGTATCAATGTTGGACGAGGGTATTGAAGTAGACGGTAAACCATTTCAGAATTTCTTCGTCTTTGTCTGCGAGCTTACACAATTATCGGCGATGCAACATTTCGTCTGTCTTGATTTGTTTTTCCCGTTCAGAAAATGGATGGATGGAAAATCATCGTTCGCTTGACACATTGTAGCTTTTGTCTGGCTTGAGAGGGCAACCCTGTCTCATGAAAGTTAGCTCCACATTCAGTTGGGAAAATGGCGAATATGGATTGTTTTCTTTTTTTAATCCATGACGAATATGGGCGGAGCTAGCGGGAGGCGGGCTGCACTTCGAGCCGTGAAGTTGACTGATTCGGCTGCCAAATGCGAAGCACGCAGAAGCTCCACAAAACTGCGTAGAAGTTGACTGATTCGGCTGCCAAATTGAACTGTGTTTTCTTTTCTCTTCTTTCTACCCTCAATCTTGCTGCTGAAGGCTGTAAATTTCCCCAGTGTGGGACAAATAAAGGATATCTTATCTTAAATGCGAAGCACGCAGAAGCTCCACAAAACTGCGTGGACTGCATTTTCCTTCGCAATGGCAGTACTTCATCGGCAAAAGCAAATACATCTCCACCGTGACGACAATTCCACTGAGCAATCAAGTGCGTGCCGCTAATCAAAAGCTAATCTCTGTGTCCGTCCAAACTGCTGTTCTGTTTACTTGTTGGCTTTGACGTTGCGTTTCAGACATTGTTGTCTGGCCGTAGCCCGAAAGCAGATCTGAATCTTTGGTCGGACTAGCTGTCAAATGCCAGTTCTAGAAACTTGGCGTTGGGACGGTTTCTGTAAATTAGCCCAAGTGAGATGACACATTTTGCAACTATTTGCATCCAAGGCATGAAAAAGTCCGTTTTGCATAATGTGTCTCCTTCAAGACTGCGGATGCCACGAGGTCAACTCGTCTGAGGACATTGTTAAAACCGGAGTCACGCGGCAAGACCTTTAATTACACCGCACGTCCTCTCGTAACCTTTGAACTATTGTATCGCCTCGATTGGACAAGTGACAAGAGCTTTGCGACCAGCGCTCGGCCGTCTGAACCCCAGGATTAACCCCCCGACTACAAAAGTGCAAGATGCACACTAAATGTCAACGGGCACACAACCGCTTCGGCGCAGTGCTCGTTCCCCCTCCAGCCTCGTGCAAATTGTTCGCACGCAGCCCATTTTCACATTCATCCAATTAAAAGTTCTCCTCGCCTAACCCTGATTTTGCACTTTCACTAACACATCCAGCCAAGTTAGACTGACATATAATTTTCTGATAGCAAGCATGATATCACATAGCTCGAAATGCTTTTTTTTTTTTTCCCCCTTTCTTTTCTTCTTACCCAGACAGGTTGGCTCCCCCTGGGGATAGAAGGAGAGATACAGGTGCGGTTGGAAAGTCTTTATCTCCTGCACTGTTGAAGGGAAAAGCAGATTCACTGCCGCATAAATTGTCGAGCAAATAAATGTGCACGGTTTGATTTTTATAACATCAAAACATGATTCTGCTCAACATGAAATAGCTGTCACCCAGGCACCAAATGTGCGCGTGTGTGTGTGCACGCGCGCATGTGTGTTTGATCAAAACACAGTCGAATCGAATAAATAACAAACAAAACGTAGCCTTGAAATGGCTCACCTGCTTTTTTTTTTTTTTTTTTCATCACGTGACGTTCGCAAGGAGAGCCTGCGGGCACCTTGACGTCAGTTGCGGTGGACAGCAGGTGGCGGTGCTGCTTAAATATCGGGTTTCCTTTAAAACGGGTGGATTCGTCTTGCGCATTCTTAGTCCAAAAACACAAAATGAATCAGAATGTGTTTGGACTAGTGGGAGCACATAAAACACGAGCGCAAAGAAACATTTTTATTTCTGCTTTCAGTGACTCTGTAAGCTGCAGAACTATTAGTCGATATTCACAGAGGATAAAGAATATATGCAAGAGTCTTGTTATAGTCTCTGTCTACATTTGATAACCAACCGTTTGTGTTCAAATATCTGTACCTTGCGACGCCACCATATTAAGCTGTTCATTAGACTGTCTATTGCATTATTATTATTACGATTCCCATTATGTGTTAGCATTAAGCTATAGCGGACTTAAGGGCAAAGTTTTGTGGCTGTTTTAAATACAAACCGTCTAACTTTGACATGAAAAAACTTGTGGGCTCTTTTTTTGAGGATTGTTTTAATACGCTAAGGTCTCCCTTTGCCACTGCGCTTAGTAGATGGTTCCAGGGTTTCAAGAAAATGAATTTTAGGTTTTATGAAACTGTACTATCTTAAATGAATCATGAATGACAAGGCCAAATGAAAACGATGTTTGGAAGCTCACTTGTTAACATTGCTAAAAGTTGTGAACCTCCGTAACCCAACAAGACACTGCCTTAAATGGCCATGCTGCCCCCCCCCCAATTCTTCTCTTTATTGACGCCTCTTTTGGAATATTTCTTGAAAAAACGGCCCAAAAAAAAAGACTACCGAAGCCAAAGAAAACCTCCCTTTTTTTCCTGAAATCCTGGCTATCCCGGAATTAAGAACAAGGAAAGAAATCAGCAAGAGTGGTTCTGCTACAAAGGTTACCTGCGTGCCGTAAAGCGTCGCGACTTGTCTCCGTGACTAATTCAATCAAGAGGTCGCGGCCGCGGGATGAAATGGACAATTCTCCGCTGTGACGCTCCTCGAAAGGCCAGCAAGGACTCAATCGTGTTGTACTCTTCCACTCAGACAACACGTTAGTACCTAATCGAGATGTCTGGAAAGGGGAAAAGAAAAGTATTCCCGACACAGACTTCAAAACTGAGACGTGACCAATCCAACTGAGACGCGTATGGATCAGTTACAGAATGTGACAAGTGTGTGTTTCTACACAGTGGTCGATTGCCATCATGCAATGTCATGCCTTAAAGACTGTGTTGGGTGAGCATACAGTGGGAGTTCTTTGGTGAAAATCGGAAATTTCGGTCATAAGAATCCCCTTCAAGAGGTAAAAAAAACCTTTTTATAAAAGCAGGGAGGCAAGAGGTGCAGGGTGTACTGAACATCATGTATTAACAAAAACACTTGCAGAGGTACGGTGGGAAAAAACGAAATGGAAAGCACATCGAAGTCCTCAAAAGATCAAAAGTCAAAGTAACAACAAAACAACGTGACAGCAACACGACGTTCTGACGCTGAGTGGTCGATGTGGGAGTGCTTGCATCAGAGAAAGTCAATGACACGATGACCAACAGGTGCGGCGCTGGAGGAGAACCCCTTCAATGCCACCCGTTGGTCACAAACGGAACAGAACCATGACAGTAAACTATGAAACAAAACCAAATCTAATCTCAACAAAAACAGAATGATGACAATGTTGACTTCCAAGTGACAAATGGAGCCTCAACATTGGTAGTTTTGAAAGAAGGGCATTTTTTTCTTTCCATTGTCTAATCTAGAAGAAATGTAGGTAATGATAAACCACAATGTCCTCATGGCATCGTAACCGTCACGGCGTTTAGTGACACTGGAATTAAATCCCCCCCCGAGGGCTTGCCTATCAATCGAGAGCAAGATTCTGCATCAGGCACCTTCCTGATTTAGTTTGGCGAAACACACCTTGAAAACACCTCAGGGCCCACAAACACGAGGAGCAACAAGATGATGTCAGGAGATGCGTTCTTATTCCCCTGCCGCTCAATCTTGATAGCGGCAAAACGATTTCCCCTCCCGGTTCTTGTCTGAATATTGCCACGGAAAGAGTGGTTTTGCTTTCCGCTTGCTTTTGTTTAGCCATTCAGAGAACAATATCACATCTAACGTTGTTTCATTCTTCGCTTTGTGTGCTGTATTTATCTGCCATGGACAGAATTTTTTTTTGCACTCCTTCAACGGCTCATTTTAACCTAAACTGTCCAAGGGGTGCCTGGTCAAACATTTGTGCCTTTAAATGTATTTTTATTATGATAGACTTTGGCGTGTTTCGACTTTGGCCCCGTAGGAATGTAATTTCATTAATAACGGCGGATCCCCTGTATATGGATAAACGTATTTGAACACAGCCTACAGCTGCGAGTCGTGAAAAAGCAGGCGTACTTAACCTAAAAACGTGCCTTGTATTGCCATCACATGACGGCAAAGGTTTTAAACTGGATTCAAAAGCATTTACACTCAGGGTTGACTTCACTTCTGTTCGCGGGGGTATTGCATTTGAATGCGGCATAACTGCTGAATGCAGCTTCACCGTGCTTACTTGGAACTCCGGGCTCCTTTTACTGTGTTTATATTCAATCCGCATCTGAGACATGATCATCAATATGTCAGTAGACAGTATATATATTTTTGTGGCATATTTGATATTTCTGTCATGTGATATGTCATCCTATCATATATCCAAGTTGATTTAAAAAAAAAAAAAAAATTGGTGAGACCTTGACGACATGAGAGACCAGACGCTCGAGCAGCAGTCCGAGATGCGCATGTACTCCCAAAAATGTTTTATTTGCCTTTTTCCAAAGTTGTGTCGGAATAATTTAGTGCCACTGTGCGGCACACTGAATCCCAGCAACGCGCGCACAACAGCTGGCGAGTGCCACAAAAGATGCAACAATCTACACAACACAATCCTTTTCTTCTTCCTGTCCATCAACAGACACATTTAGAACAGCACCACTTGGTCCACATGAATAAATCCGTCTCACTTGATCGTTGTCGTCCCCCCCACACCCCACCACCGCCTCACACACAGGCGGCTTGGGCTGCAGGAGTATGGGAAATGCTTACATTGTTTCATCCGTTTTCAATTCTGGAAATTGAAATGTTTAATGTGTAACATGGGATGATTGCTGCTTTTCATTGGGGCTCAGCGGGGACAGGGACAGAATGAGGAGACAAAATTAGCAGAACAGAAACGATATCTTTTGCCTGGCGGAGCTCTTCCCGCCTTTCTGTTCTCGTTCCCGCTCTGCCACAATACGGCCCCATTAAAAAAAACAAAAAAAAAAGCTGCATTGATGTGAGGATTATACTATTAGCGGCAGCCAGCGTTCTCATCAGCTGCTGGGACACGACTGGACCCGATACTGCATGCGCAGAGACTGCACCAGAGCGCCGTACCATGTCTCTACTGTGTCTGTTATATTTTTTCGCTTAGCCACTAGCTCACATATTTCTACATTTCCCGCAAAAATATGATTGCTCCATTTATATCACTGCGCGATTCATTTTGTTGTTATTATTGTAGTTTGCAACTATCGTGTAGGACCGCACTGCATCATACTGAAAGCTGACCATTATTTGCTTCTTTTTGCAATGGCTCAAATTCACCACAAGAAAGAGGCTTTTGTCATGAGTGAATACAACAAATTTCTACCATATTTGTTTAAGTAAAACGCCTGACGTCAATGCAGTGAGTGACTTTTTACTGCAATAGCTGCTTTAGTACTCATCACTGGTTTGTTGACACAATTCTTTTTTTTTTTGGTGGGGGGGGGAATGAATCACGGTTACATGCACTGAGTGATGACTTCTGATTTATTCACTAAAAATGTTCTCCAACCAAGCAGGATATCAAGCCAACACTTGAAGGTAACATGCCTCTCATTTAGCTTAATGTCAGCTCATTTTCTTTCCATCTTCAACCTTAAATTGTCTCTCACACACACACACGCACGCACACACGCAC